GAGTGAACTTTCGTATTAGAGGCAAAATCACGTGAATTTCCGATTAAATCTTCATACTCTCTATTTTCTGAATAAGCTGTCAATATTCTGTTGGTTTTTTTATTGTGTTTTTCCTTCTTTCGGTTTCGTTTTCCATTGTAAATTAATGACACAAGCCGTACTTTTATATTGGTTTAAAAAACACACAACAATTAACAAGAACAAAATGAATAATAGTTCACTGGTAAGTCAATAAAGGCTGATAAAATCTAAAGGTTGTCCATGGATGACGATGGATGTATGAATTATATATTTTCTTTTCCTAGGTGGTCGGGCAAAAGGTCATAAATGTATCTAGGCTTGGCACACGGACATTTATCGATTTCACTGAGTTGGAAAAAATGTCAAATTGAATATACTAGCATAGATTTGGCAAGTGAGCAGTTAACAAATGGAAATAACAAGTGGCGCCTAAGCAATGTTTTTCATTAATCATCATTAATCAATTGGTTCATTGAAAGGTTAACAGCTTAATATTTTAATGTAAAAGGGAAAATTTCCCTATTTACAACAGAAACCATCAGATAGTTTGCTTAAAGGCTAAAGTAATTTTTTCACAGAATTAAAATTGGAACCTTTGTGAGGTAAAATCTGTATTCTGACTGTCATGGACCTTGGAGTTTATGACGTGTACTTATAAATATACCCTTCTTAGCAAGCAATTGAAACCAATCTTTATTATCGATGTGTACAGCTTCAAAATTTAAATTTATAATTTATAAAAAAAAAATGAATTATGCAGAACACTTTTTTTTTTTACAATTTGAGTAAAACAACTTTGACTTTATCAAACTGTTGTAAAATGTTAAGGATGCAGTACGTGGACAAGTATTTTTTAAGTTTAATGATAGCTACTTTAGAGAATTGTAATGTTCATTTTCTGTTTTATACAATTATTTTGTTCCATATTCTAAGCCATTAATACATTAATTGGTCCATTTACATGTAACGTAAAATAAAATGGCATATTTTTAACTTCTTTAAATCTTAAACATTTGTTACAGATGCTTTATACGTTTATATTTACATCCACTGAATATTTTCTCCTTTATTTCTTAAGAAACCCCATTGCATTCATCACTGCATAAACTACAGTAGACAGGTCGCCTGTACAGATTTCTTAATCAGTGGCTGTTCCATCAATGAAACGTATAAAGACGTTTGCATCATTAATACAAAAATTAATCTTTTTAATCTTATTTTAATTGATTATTTAAACAAATATAAATATAAACAATAAAATGCTTTCTTTGTTTGTTGTTACCGGAATGAACGGTCGCAGCTATTGCAGAAAAAAATTTACATAACCCGCTTACGCGGGTTATGTATTTTTTTCTGCAACAGCTGCTTCCGTTCATTCCAGTAACAACAAACAAAGAAAGCATATCTTTTATTGTTTAAATCACCTGCAGACAGAGTGTATTTATCTCAGTTGATTCGATACACAAGAGCATGCTCTACGTATGAACAATTTCTGAGTCAATTGCTGACTGACGTTTTTCATACCGATCGTTAATACATTATTTTTACACAGAATTGACGACGGATTTTTTTCCGTTATTTTAGGATCATGACAAGTAGCAGATTCACGGCGAGTGTGACTGGTCGACATGCTCGCTCATCTATTGCACCTTTAATGTTTCGGAGTTCCATGTTTGTTCTGCTCTTATTTTGTATTGTTTTACGTGCATTGGTAATAAATACTGCTCATTATACAGGTGTATCCTTATTTTTCTTATTTTTAAAAAAATATGTAAGATTCTTCAAGATCATGTCTTGTATTCATGATAATGACAAATTTGTAGGTAAGCAAGTAAAAAAAAATCATAGTTATTGTTTCTTGAATTTCGTTCTAGATAAAATAACAATATCACATACTTATATTCCTCCCACACACTACTCCACTCGGAAAGGAATAAAAACTTTGTTAGTTTCGGTTCGTTGGATCATCGTATTGGTAAAAAGCCCAATATGATTTGTCTAATTTAATTAAGTCTCATCAAAATCCCATTCATAAATTTCCAAAATAATATTTATAAACAAATATACAAAAGAAGTATAAGTATTGTATTACGTACATGTAGTGTGTAACGTGTAAATGCCTTATTGTCTGTTTTACGAATAATAGCTAAATGGGCTGTTTTCAACTTTCAAAAAAGATTGTATGGATGCATGTACTTTTACATTTTGCTTAAGATGTCGTATCTGTATATAGAAATCTCAAATTTAAAGAAAAGAATTTTTGAAATTAAAAAAAAAAATTGAATGAGTAAATATCCCCTATTTACAAAAAAAATCTTCATTTAATTCTTTAAAAATTGAAAAAGTAAAATTAATTATGAAAGCAATGTGAAAATCTTAAATATCGTTTACCCCCCCCCCCCCTCTCTCCTCAATAAAAAAAAAAAGAAAAATGAAATCTTAAAAAATAAGTGATTAAAACATATGATATGTCAATAAAAATTTTTTCGGACATTTTTTATCAAAGAAAGGGTTGTCCTGATTTTTTTCTCGTCAGAGTAAAAAGCAGCATTTTATAAATGCACAACTATGACCCCATGGTGATCCGGGTTAGAATACCCCTTTGCTTGTCGTAAAAGGCGACTAAATGGGGCGGTCCTTCGGATGGGACCACATAAACCGAGGTCCCGTGTCACAGCAGGTGTGGCACGATAAAGACCCCTCCCTGCTCAAAGGCCGTAAGTGCCGAGCACAGGCCAAAATTTGCAGCCCTTCACCGGCAATGGTGACATCTCCATATCAGTGAAATATTCTGGAGAGGGACGTTAAACAGTATACAATCAATCGATCAATATACAACTATGAAAAAATGCACGACAGAAAGCGCAATTTACGTCTCTTACAACCTTGTGATCTCCTTTTCTGCTTCACCCGCGATTGTTTACATCCAATTTATTTTTAAAGTGAAAAACTTTCTTGACTATTGACTTATTTTAATTTTGTATTTTATTGTTAAACTTTAATTTCTTTCTTGGTTCGAAATAAGAAAGGTTTACTGACGGACGAACGGCTAGAGAGACAGATAGACAAATGTACGCCAGACATCTGCTGATCAGAAAAACTCACTTTAAAAGATATCAGCTTAAGTGAACTAATAAAGTCTAATCAAGAATGAAGGAATTTGCCACTAATTATAAAAAGAACAACTTTATGTTTATGATTAAAACTAATACTTATTAATGTTTTGTATAATTAAAACTGTAAAAGTTTGATATGTATGTAAACAATTGACATACATTATTAATTTAATAAATGAGAAAGACTCTTTGTGTGTTTATATTTATACTAATCTAATTTGAAAACCGTCTTCTTTCGGTTTCACATTATCTCCATATATATTGACTTCACCTACATATTGTTCTTATTCATATGTAAGGGTTGATCAGAAGAAATACAGAGAAGTAAGTAAAAAAAATTACATGTACGGGAGCATATACACTCGGAGCTGTAGGATTGTAGCTTTGTTGTTATTATGCCCCCGTAAACGAAGTTTCTGGGGTATATAGTTTTTGTCGTGTCCGTCTGTCTGTCTGTCTGTCTGTCTCTCTGTCTGTCTCTCTGTCTGTCTCTCTGTTTGTCTGTTCGTCCGCAAAAACTTTAACCTTGTCCATAACTTTTGATTTAGTGGAGCTATGACTTTCATATTTCACATGTGTATTCCTTGTGACAAGACCTTTCTTTGGGTACCACCAAATTTGACCTTTTGACCTTGACCTTGTAGTTTGACCCACTTTTACATGAAAATTTTAAAATTTTACTTTGGCCATATCTTTTGAACAGTAGACACCAGGACATTTATACTTCATATATGTAATGTTTGTTGAAAGACCTTTCACTGGATACCAACAACTTTGACCCTCTGACCTTGACCTTGTAGATTTTTGTACTTGTGAAAAAACTTTAACCTTGGCCATAACTTTTGAACGGTAAGGGATAGGGCTTTTATACTTCATATATGTAATCCTTGTGAAAAGATACTTCATTAGTTACCAAGAACTTTGACCCTTTGACCTTGACCTTTGAGATTGACCTACTTTAAAAAAACAAACCTTGACTCTTACTTTTAAAGATTAGGGCTAGTGCTATCATACTTTACATATTTGATCTCTATGACAAGACCTTTCATTTGATAACAATAACTTTGACCTTTTGACCTTGACTTTGGAGTTTGACCCACTTTTACATGAAATTTTTTAACTTTTACTTTGGCCATATCTTTTGAACAATAGATACCAGGACATTTATACTTCACATATGTAATGTTTGTTGAAAGACCTTTCATTGGATACCAACAACCTTGACCCTCTGACCTTGACCCTCTGACCTTGACCTTGACCTTGTAGATTTCCGTACTTGTGAAAAAATTTTCACCTTAGCCATAACTTTTGAACGGTAATTAATAGGGCTTTCATACTTCATATATATAATCCTTGTGAAAAGACACTTCATTGGTTACCAAGAACTTTGTCCCTCTGACCTTGACCTTTGAGATTGACCTACGTTAAAAAAGCAAACATTGACCATAACCTTTAAAGATTAGGGTTAGTGCTTTCATACTTTACACATTTGATTTTTATGACAAGACCTTTCATTTGATAACAACAACTTTGACCTTGACCTGGCAGTTTGACCTACTTTTTAAAAAATTGAACGTTGGCCATAACTTCTGAACGGTTAGGGATAGTGCTTTCATGTTCAACATAAGTATTCTATGTGGCAAGACCTTTCATTTGATACTAATAACATTGACCTTTTGACCTTGACCTTGGAGATTTTTGTACTTATTTTAAAAAAACTTTAATATTTGGTAACTTTTAAATTTCACAATCGTTTTCCAGTGAGAATACCCTACTTTTGGTACTATTTAATTAAATTTGCATTTATCTATGTTGCCATACGGGGGCATCAGTGTTTCACAAACACATCTTGTATTTTTTTGTTCCTGGCCACAACGCAACAATTCTTGCTGTGAAGCATATTGTGCAATTTATTCACTTTTCAGCATTAGACAATCAACTACTTTCCATTTACTAATTCTAGACATTTGAGAGGAGAGCGTGTGTGTAAAGGTGTGTTTGTGTGTGTGGTTGGACCCCTTTTAGATCCGTGGATGGGAAAAACAGAATGTGTATCAACTGCTTTGTTTCCGATTAGATGAAACTATGTTTTCTTTTAGAGTACAATGAAGAAATATATACACGTCCTGAATCCAGAAGAAACGCCGTTGCTAAAAAAGGTGAAGCAGAAATATTATAAGGTGGATCTTGCTTTCAAAGTATACATGTCCTAAATTATATAATGATGTGTATAGACTACAAAAATTCAATAGGAAAAAAAACTTAAAACAGACTGTAGTTTTATTCATAGAAAACCATCAGAAAAAAAATGAATTTCAATCCACCAATGATAAAATGCAGTATAGAACAGGTTGATGTATGTTGCTAGAACGCACAGATATTTTGAAATAATCAGAATCATTTAAAATTGCCAATTTCATGAATAAAAAATTGCAGAGTATTCGCATTATATCTACTGATAATTCAATGTTCCCGCCACTCAAAAATCGAATTTTCCATTTATACAAACGCACGACTCATTTCTTATATATTTGCAGCATTTTAAGTGTTTATTTAGATGTTTCCCGAATGAAAAAAAATATTGATACTTGCTGGTCCTTCACGTCCTCCAATGTCATGCTTAAAAATCAAATCTATTAGACTTTAGAGATTGATAACTTTTCAATATAGTGATGTATTACATTAACTTTTCTATCGTCAACTTCCCTTATAATTACTTACCTTATGTACCTTGATACATTCATCGCCTTAATATTAACTTTTTTGTTATTCAGCAAACATGTTTAAGAATTGTGATTTGATTTTTGTTTTGAAATAGTACAAATTTCCAACTATTTTTTAAAATGAATTGATTACTGCTCTGAAATTTATTATTGAAAATGTGTAGGCCTTTAACAGCGAGAAATGAATATGGAAACTCACCTTATCTTCTGTTTACATTAGGCTTCCAAAAGAAATAGTGAAAATACAATTAGTATCTATAAATGTTTGATTTATATTTTTTTCACTTTTAGGGCAGCCTCTGATGACAGCGAGCCTAAAGACGCTAGATACATCATGATAAGGATGTCAGGCTTCAGTTTTGGCACAATTTGCATAGCATTCTTCATTATTATACCCAGCAATATTGTTGAATCGACGACTTTTATAACGCAAATAATGAAAAGATCCACAAAGGTATGATTTGCTTAATAATAGATTTCAAATTGCATTTTTATGAAGCTGTAGCAAAAAAGAACAATAACGAAACGAAATAAGAGGGACTGAATAATCATAAAGAAATACGATAAGAAAAGTTTGCGACCATAAAAAAATGAATATTTCAAACAGGAAACAAATTGCTCAGAAGCGACGAAAACTGCAAATGCTGCTGTATCTTGCCCAACAGATTTAGAATATATCAAAGATCGAGCAAGAATATTTAACTGCGAAAATGTTCATGATCCATGTTCAGCTGAAAAATTGACGTACCACTGTGTTTCTTCTGGAACAATTATAAAAGAAGTATGTGCTCCAAGAAAATATCTTACAGGTATGCTAAACACAATTTATTTTGTCAATATATATCTATGGAAAGTCATAGCAACCTTATGTGGCTTTTTTCATGAGAATATGGAGCGTTTTATGCTAAGTTTTGGTTATTTCATATGAAGGCGGTGCTTTATTGTATTATGCCGGTGTTACTCAATGTTAAACTTAGACTTAAATATATGAGGAATACCTTGATAATATATTTTTTTAAATCTTCACTAAAAAATGCCATCAAAAGAAAAAAAACAGCAATCACACAATAATCACCTTTACATTAGAAAGCACATGCACATGAAATAACCAAAGTATAGAATAAAAAAACACCATCTTCACATGAACTAAACACCGCATAAGATAATAAAGAACAACCTTTATATGAATTATTCATGGTCTAATATAATAATGCACCATCTTCACATGAACTAAACACCGCATAACATAAAAAGCAAGATCTTCTCCTGAAAAACATGTAACCACATAAGATACATGTACCAATGGTGTTCCAAATTCATCTTATTTCTTAAAATGATGATTTACTCGTCTTCTGTATTCTGAAGTTATTGTTCTTTTAATAATGCAATTCGCATTCGTTTAAGTGCAATTTAATATTTATAATTGTTAAAGGAAAATATTGTGTCCACTTTGATGAAGGAGTAGGCCGCGTCCTTGAAGATTTCACTATTTCGTGTCCTGAGTGTCCCCTTCATTATTATTCTAATGAATCTTTTATATGTAAGTATATTTAAAAAGTAAATATTATATTTACTTTCAATCTCAGACTTATAAATAACATAAATTAATCATAAATTAATAAATCACATACTCGGAGGGGGGCGTACAAAAAGAGAGAGAGAGAGAGAGAGAGAGAGAGAGAGAGAGAGAGAGAGAGAGAGAGAGAGAGAGAGAGAGAGAGAAGAAAGTAGAAATAGAAACGTACATGTTCAAATCGATTCACACGAGAAAATTCATCCGACTCAAATATTACCTTAAAAAGAATCAAAACTGAATTTGAAAAAAAAGTAAGTTAATATTTTTGGATTTTTTGTTTAGACTTTTACATTTGTTGTAGATCCATCATGCCTAAAACGAATACAATCTTTGTTTGTTACCCAGACAACTTCGCTTACAACCCAAAAGTCTTTGTCTGAATGGAAAACTACAATAAAATCTACACAAATGCCAGCCAAGGAGGAGAATGGAACAACCAATGCAACGAATATTTGCGGAACTTTTTCGGAGCGTCACAAACGAAGTGTAAGCTGTCAGCAAAGCATCACTTCAGGACCTAATGATAACAGTCAATTAGATGACATAAATGGGGGTAAGTTTTAAAAAAAATGAATTTGTCATTTTCTGCATTACAGCTGTATATTCATTTACTTGAAAAGGCATGCACTTTATGTAATTAAGCATTAATTATAAATGCTTACCAATAACGGTGCAAGTTGAGCAAAGTGGCTGTTCAATCCCATTCACTTTTCATTTTTAATTAAATTATGTATTTAAATCAATTATTCTATTCATATATCTTGCTATTCAGACAATATAAGACTCGTTTTATTATCCCTGTGATACATATCTCATTATTAAAGAATGAAATTACCATGCATACTGTAATTCTTTAACATAGCTAAACATATAGGTCTTACAGTTCCTTTCGATGATGCTCATCCCTTCATAGTAGTTTATCCTGATGTTTTTAGAAGAGGTCATTTTTTTTTATTTTCCCCTATAAATTTCCAATTATTCAATTATCTTTTGAGGATGAATATTATTCGTTATCTCCAAAAATTTCATTTACTGTGTCAACTACATCTCCGTAACAAAAAAAAAGGAAACATACATCTTATACCTCTGAAAGGCCGAATATTCTTATTTGTATTTCATATAAATACTTACATGACATCTTACCAGAAGAATAGATTGGAGAGTTGATTAATTTATAAAAGGGTCTCTCTGTAAATCATTAAATGTATGTGTGTTTAATTACAGCAATCAACTTGTATATATAAATATTTATATTGAACTTCCTGATGCAATATTTAGGTTACACAACTGCAAATATAAAAGGAGAAATAACACTACTAATTAAGGATAAAGGAAGTGAGATAGTTCTTTCTTGCATTTGTTTATTACTTGTTTTCTTTTTTAAGAGTTATCTAGGTTATGATAATTTTTACTTTTTAATATGTTTTTTTTTTTCAAATAAAAAAAATAAAAACTCCCTATTTATGAACAAAATAGTCATGATATATTGAAATTATTAAGTACACCTTTTTTTCTAAAATACTTCATTCATATTTGAGTTGTTATGACGGTTACATGTATCACTATAAATCTGTGTTTGAATCGTATTTTGAAAAAAAAAAAACTCGTTGAGTATCGGTTTTTTTTTTTTGTTTTTATTTAAATAATATATTTTAAATTATATTTATATTAAACTTCAGTCTAGGAAAACATCACATCTTTTACCTTTCCTAAAAAACCTAAAAGAATATGTCTGGTACCTTGTTTTTTTTTCAGCTCAAAAGATGTTTCTGATGTTGCCATATTGCCATTTTTTATCGAGTATTTTCATGTCACGGCTTTTGTATTGGGGTTTGCTGTTTTAAAAGGTAATTATCAGGGGAAAATCATATTCCTCGAATCATGATGATAAATAATCCTTTTGTGATACTTTCTCGAAACATTTTGCATTTTTGATGTCTGGGAAGGCTATTTAGCCTTGCCAGACCTTGATTATAATCTGCTCTCAATTTCGGCATCTAAGTCGGCTTAAGCAATTTTTCCAGTGGACTTAAAAGTTAGTCTGGCCTCAAACTCAACTATATAAAAATGTTAACCTCAATTTTTTACCTCAAATTTCTTTACATCTAATTATTTCTATTAAAATAAACGACAAAAGGACAAAAAATATTATGTTAAAATTATGTACAATTACTGAATATATAAGTTTCTTTTGATTTTGTTTGTTGATCTGCAAAAAAAAAATCAATATTGTCCGGTGTGAAGTCGAGGTTACATTTGATATTTGTCTTATGAATAACAACCCATATTCAACATCAAAAAGTCCATTAGTGTTTTATTATATAGTCTGGATATGATTAAGTGAAGGCTGCACGACGACGCCATTTTAGACTACCTGTAGGACTTTGACATGTGGTAAAATGCAAATGAAATTCGATGAAAATCTTATTAAGGTAAGATTTTACCTTTACAAATTATCATAATCAAACGCAATGTATCATATACGGATGCACCGAAATATCTTTCTTCATTTAAACTGTAGAAACTTTCAGAAAAAAAGTAATAATGTTTGTTGAAAACAACTTTCAAAATTCACTAGGAATAACCTTTTTTATGAATACATTGATTGGAATGCATAACTTACAATCTGCTAAATTGCATGCATTTTTTTTATTATGCCTCTATAGTGACTTGGTTTTTTTTCAATTCGGTTAAAAAAAATAAATTGGTTTAATAAAACAGTCCTGGAATGGGAACTCGGTTCCCCTCGGAAGGAAACTTTTTACTCCCTCGAGGTACCATAAATTTTTTATGCCCATTGGACCTATTCCCTAACTGAATTATATCTGAATAATTGACTAAAAAAAATCAAATATCGATTTAAATTTTCTGAAATAGGTAAATTTTTACTTTTAATAAAATAACAATAATATTATCTTTTTCATTCTAATATATACACCTTGAAAAAATTACATATGAAATTCGAATGTAGAACATACCGTCGCTGCTTTTGTTTGAAAGTGTTTGTGCAATGTATAATCAGTCACTGGTTCATTTTTGGTATTTAATACAAAAAAAAATGCAGCACTTCAAAATAAAAAAAAATACAATTCTATATCGGATAGAATTGTATTTTGCATTTATATTGTGTATTACTGTGGTATGTTGAATTTCATTCCAGAGGCATAAAAGCAGTCACATTTGGCAATTATTCAAAATGGAATCGTTTTCTGGACATCAAAATTCTATGCACACACTATGGCAGGCATTTAATGTAATTATTGGCAAGTGGGCAAATCGTATCACATCTATCAAAGCTGAATTACTTCATACCAAATCTCAACATCTGTTTCACATATTCAGCCGTAGAAGGATTTAACTACGCCAACGTCGTTCTACAAGATCAAAATATAGGATTTAGCGTGGATAAGACCGACCAACAAGGGTGCCTACTCCTCTTAGGCACCTGATTTCATCTGGGATGTTCACTTGTCTGTATTTTATACCCTCTTCACAGATTTGTATTGTCTATACTTTTTAGGTTCATCTCTTTTACTCATTGACTATTTTACTGTTGGATATGATTGTAAACGGTGGCATTCTGAAGTGATTCATAATTTCAATGAAATACAATGCAAAGCGTGAACAAAGTGAAATCAAAATACATATAATAAGTGAAAGGCTGATTCCTAATTTTAATCATTTTGACTATTATTGTTATTTCACGATCATGACAATGAGCACATGGCGGGTGTGACCGGTCGGCAAGGGATGCTCACTTCCCCGCGGTATCTGATCCATTCTCTAATGTTTCGGAGGTCCGAGTCTGCTCTGCTAGTATTTTGTATTGTTTTACGGATTTGATATTGAATACTGTTCGTTATCTCTATATCCTTCTTTAAATGATTTTCGTTAGATTGTTTAATCATTTGTTTTGGTAAAATCGTAAAATCTTTTTTTTTTTTCAATTTATAAGTACCATAGTCATATTTATCAAAAATTACAATTTTATTTGCTGAAGAACAGATGAGTAAACAAAAAATGGATGCCTGTGTTCGTTTACATTTTTTAGAATAAATTTCTTTGATTGTAAATGATGCAAATTATATTTTTTTCTAGAATTTAAAGAAATTGTAATCTTTTGTGATATTCAAAATTCTTTTCTTCTGAAACCATCATTATTATTCTAGACAAATATATTTCACTCTAAATTCAATTTTTGTGCAACGTAAGAAAAAAAACCCCGAAGATTCTCTGAAACTTATTCATTTGATTCCTTCAAACATGACCCAAGTTGTTGATAAAAGGATGACTGCACTTAAGGGTATAAAAAATTTGCGTCAAAGCAAAATTTTGAAACAGCTTTCTTTTGATTGCAGAAATGTTGAACGTTTAACCTTCAACTTTACTTAATTACAATAAATAAAGTATGTATTTGTGAAGAAGGAATCTGTATTGTAAGGCAGGGGTTGCCACAATTTCCTTAATCTCCGTACGATAATGAGGACATCCACCTTTTCACTGATTTTATACATAGTCAGTGCATGTTTGTCTATTGTTCTCCTTTAACCGAAGTTGTATATTTGCAAAAGCGATGTTGTGTTAAAAGATTAGTAGACAAGCAAGATGGTTAAAAAGAGAAGAAAAAAAACTGCTTCTTCTTACACTCGCTTTCTCTCTCTTGTAAGCAAGGACTAGCTAGGGCACTGTGTTCGAACACGTTTAATAGTCAGTCATCGATTTAGAACATTCTTTACTTACACGCATGGGCTCAATTGCTTTAAACCTTTGTAAATATTGTACTTTTGCCATAATACAGATTGAAGAGGAAGACAAAAAAATAGAGATCTCGTATCTTTATTTGACATGTCATTGTTATTCGTCCTGAGTTAGGAAATTCGCTTGTGAAAGTCTTATACAATCTTAAACAGTCTGAATCAGTCATAAAGCGGTGCACCTACATGCGCAACGCAGAAGGACATTGACCAAAAGTCATCTGAGGGATGATTTACTGCCAAATCCAAGAATCTGCAATCCCAGTTAATACTTTTGGGATTTTTAAAAGGAATCTCAAAGTTTTTATTCAGAGATGCATTGTATCTAAAAGTAAACTTTAAGGTTGCCTTGCAATGATTAGATTAAATGGTGGTTTTATTTCAAAGAGATTTTATTATTTATCATCGATTCTCAGAAACTTTGCTTCAAATTTATTGAGATACTTACATGAAATTATTAAAACACCAATGTGAAATCTGCATCATTTACCAGAAATTATCGAAGAAATTATTTATTGAATATATTTGGTCTTTACCACTTAAATAAATGTAAGGTGAACACTTAGAAGTTTGGTTCAGTGTATATACCACATTTTAACCCCCTCTACATATATAAAAAAAAATATCTAGAGTCAGATGGAAACCGGACAAAATGAGATCAGAAAAGCTCACTTGAACCTTCGGCTCAGGTGAGCTAAAACAGAAATCGTGATCAAAATATTGTGTCATGAGCCTTGAAATCAAAAATTGTATTTTAACTTAGTTCCCTTATACAACATTAACCATTGCAGTGTTTCACTGTACAAAACTTATTCAATGAAGTATATACTAATATCTCACATTTCCATATTAAAACCATGAATATTCAAATCAGAATCACTAATCTTACCACGTATCTTTCACAAAAGTTTAAAAAATGTCCTTAAATATTAAGAGATTGATTGTTATGAAGCAGAATTCCGACGTTAGTTGGAAATAGAAAAGCAACTGATTTGTATCTTTCTAGATATTAATAATGACAATGTAAATGTATTGAAAACTTAATTTGGATCGATTACATAAATCGATGAAGAAGTTTGACATAAGCATTTCCTACAGGACGTGACATTTAAAAACACTTGAGTATTGCATATTTACAGAAGAAGTATTTACATGTACAAGGAATTTTTTTTTTCTAAAAATAAAACATGAACTACAAGTTCGCAAATATCTTACTCAAGTTGATTGTCTTGTACAATAATTTCATCTTGGTCATTTTCAATTAAAATTTCTTCGCTGTTGTAAATGATGTTATTTGTTTTCTGAGCTTTCTCAAGGAGCAAGTAAAGTACCAACATTATTGCCACGATAACACCAACTACGGCAATAGATATGCGCAAGAAGAAATTATTGTTTCCCCGATTGTTGCTGTCAGCACCAAGATGAGTGTCTGCAATTGAAAGGAATTTCTAGTACATCAAAAAATAGAATTGATCATACATATATTTTTTTTTTGTGTAAAGCTCCGTTCACATGCAATATGTGCAATACATCACTGGTTTTTTTTTTTTTTTTTCTCTTTTTTTTTTTAATTTTTTTTGGCTGTTTTGTTTTTAGTTGTTGTTGTTGTTTTTTGTTTTGGGTGTTTTCTTTGTTCTTTTTTTTTTTTTTTTTTTTTTTTACAAATAGTGATTATTCATGTTAAATTCACCTTTCTTTACATGAGAACAAATTTATTTGCGTGCTTTTAATTTTGTAGATGCATAGAAAAATTAATACAAATATCAAAAATACTTCGAAATATCTAAAAAATATTATATTGCAGAAGGACGCACGATACTATTTCATATGATAAATAACACTGTATATGTACCGGTGCATCCAGTGCTAATATTACAAGTATTGAAACTGCAATTGCAGAGGCTAAGGCAGCTTTCTCCAAAATATGGATAAGGACAGGCGTTACTGCAATTCACTCCATAATATCCTCGACGACAACCAAAAAAAAACAGAAAATTATTTGGAATTAGAGTAATCAAGTTTTTCTCTACACTTTTTTAAGATAACTTTTAAAGAACCTACGGAAACAATTAAACGGTATGCCCAAATTTATCAAATATCGTAAAAAATGATAAAGAAGATACACCTACTGACACAAGCCTTCAGTTCTTGATCCCACACTGTATCAGGACAGCATCCCTTGTGGTACACAACTCTACAGGATTTATGAAAGTAGAATATAAACTTTAATAAGCAGTTTAATTTTAGAATATAAATTATATTAACGAGGATTTTTTTTTTTACTTTGAACATGGTCCTTGACCAGCAGAGGATAAATTCACGAAAATCAAGGCAAATATTGCTGATTTTCCAGCCATTACAAACACAGTCTAAGGATGTATCATTTCAATGAAGAATGTTGGTCATAACAATGCACTTGCTAACAATATTCTGGGAAAAAAACCCAATTCGCTTCCTAGTTTACATTTTTGGAAACCCATTCTTCCGCAAATTTTTCCGCACAATCTGAGTTTACAGAAATAATTTTTGCAATACTTACATATTTTGGTATTTGAGGAAGCTATGATGGAATACTTTTCTGTGAATATTTTTTGTTTGTAATTCAAAAAACTTTTTCCAAAAAAATAAGATTTAAAAAACATTTTTTATTCAATTAAAAAAATCGTACGATGTTACGGAAGCCCGTTGAGGCCAATTCAGAAAAAGAAAACCATTTTTATTGCGTTATATCGTAATGATTATTGCGTTTAAACGCATTACACTTTGCCTTTAATTTAAAAGAAATGCGTTTAAATGCAAACAACTTTGCAATTGAAAATGTATACATTGTAATGAAAATCAATCATTTCTATTGGTCCTTTAACAGTTAAGTATAGTATTTTTGCAAGCAATCATTTCAATAGGTCCTTGAAGAGTAAAGTACAGTTTCTTATTAAGAGAATTGTGTATTGTCTATCTTTATAGAATCAGATTTTTCTAAACAAGCATTTTCTGAATGGTTTAATAATTGGTGTGGATTTAAAGCGGAAAAAGAAGTAAGGAACTGTAAAGACACAGACAGGCTAAGAAAGAAACTTAACTTACTCAGACATATATATCTAAGTTCCTGTTAAAGTTTTGATCAGTTGCTTACAAACAAAAATAACATTTGCTATATTGTTGTGTTTTTTTTTTTTTTTACTTTTCAACTATAAGATATGAAAATAATTTTAAAGGATTTTTGAAATAAAAGACTGAAGAAGAAACATTGATTGAAAAACTATCACTCCCACGTTGGGGTCACAAGGTTTGAACCATGCATAAAAAGGTTAAGGAAACAACTTATGAGATGTTAAAACTGATGTGTCTGTGCGCATTATGTACAATGATGTATAATCACAATGTTTCCTTTCATCACATATAGTAAACACAAAAACACGATAACATAGGGGACGGAATCATATGAAATCAAAACTAAAAACAAATGAAAACAGATTGTTCGATGTGTACTTCCAAATTGATGTGTCTATTAACACCATTAAAGCATTCTCAATTAGATATGATACATGTACGTAAACAGTAGATTAAAAGCTTTGTTTTGTGTTGGGTTCTAGTATTTTTAAGGATCTTTGATGATTATGATGCCATTGTTTAACTGCAATTCTCAAAACTGCAGCATTTTGCAAAAAAACACATATATCCAAACGGTACTTCTTTATAGAATCGGACATTAATATAAAATATCACAATATTTGTCTATATCTGATATCTGATATATCTGCAACAATGTATGACTGTGTTTAAATGCAAAATAAATCCATTAAATAAAAAAAAAAAATGGGTTAAAATGCAAATGATATTGTGTTTAAACGATAAAAATAGTGTGTTTAAATGCAAAAAATAAATTATATTATTCACGTTAAACGCAAACACTATTGCGTCTAATCAGAAAAATATTACGTTTAATGGCAATATTATTGCGTTTAAATACAAATAATTTAATTTTGGTTGTAACGCTGTTTTTGATTGGATAAAAAAATTACTTCATATCGTATAAAATGGGTTGCCTACGTCACAATGACTTACGTCAAAAACGTATCAATCCGCCTGACGTTACATTCAAATTTTGTATAAATTCAAGTCATTTTGTTAGTACAATCATCTTTTTTTCTTACATCAAATGAATGAAAATTAAATTATAAGCAATGAATTTAATAGCTACCCATTTTATACGGTATAAACTGGGTTGGAACAGTTTACACTCTTTTATAAACCGCTTCGCGGTTTATAAAGCGTAAACTGCCCCAACCCAGTTTATACCGTATAAAATGGGTAGCTATTAAATTCATTCCTTAAATATTATTGCAATAAAATGCACATTCAAATATTATTGCATTTAAAGGAAAAAAATATTGCGTTAATACGTTTAAAAATTGCTTTTAAAAATACGTCTTTCTTTGTACTGGAATCTACGTTTCATTACATAATTTATATTTTGTAACGAGAATTTAATAAAGTTTTTTAAAGTTCAATATACATGCTTTTTTAATCCAATTATATTATTTCAGTGCAATTTAATGGACTTTTACAACTCCTTTAGCATGTCGTGTGATAACTTGTCGTGTGATAACTTTATAATGCATATCAATTTTAGGGATTAGAAAGTGAATATAGAAAATGAGTCATTTCACACGCACAATTGTTCAATATAAAATTAATTCCTAAACACGTGTTAAGTATCTTTACTTTCCAATGGGTAACAAGACAGACATTACGCTTTTTATTTAATATAAAATGTGGGCTTTTTTTTTAGTTTAGTATAATTGCCTACTTATATCGGTAATGTAATTTATGTAAGATATTTTTTTTGGATATTTATTAATTATTTGGCATTTTGATTAGTTTATGTACAATCCTTGTATACAATAAATGAAATGAGAAGACTGCCAATTATAGATTTTTTTTTTGTCAAAAAAATTTTAAAATAGGATTAACGCAATTACTAAATGATTGGAATAAATCCAAGTCATAGTTGACATAGCTTATAAAAAGATTGGTATATGAAAAATATGGAGTAAGGATGGATACATGTATGAATATTTAGTAAATATTCCTCAAACAAGCGCTCTTCATTTTGAAATGAATGTTGCGGCTGTTTCATATGAGACCTTCAAAATCAACGTTCCGTGCCATGGTAGACATTAATATTAAGATAAAGTTCCTTTAAAAATACAATTTAATGACTATGATTCTAAATTTTAAACCTGTATATGGTATCATTTTTTAAAGGCAAAATTTTTCGATTTTGCCAAGCACTGCAAAGGATTATTGGGAGTTTGGAATTTTTCGCGCGTGAGATAAAAATTTCTTGCAACATTATGCAGATTTCAATCGAATTTCCTCCGTTCGTACACGTTAGTATATTATGCTCGCTGCGCTCCCTATAACAATATGTAACCAGAGTTTTATTGTGAAAAGCTGGCAAACAATGGCTATTCGAAACACTGCATATGTAAAATAAATTGTAAAGAATCAGTAAACTAGAGTGAGATAAAACACTTTATTCAAGCTGCTATAAAACTCGATAAGAATCCAAATGAAATATTCACTGAAACCTGTAACTTTTACGGCAACCAAAGTCTTTTTATAGACAAATGAGCATGTGGATTTAAATGAGGAAAATTTAAATAGTGGGCATCAAAATAGGTACTGTCCCTGCAAAAAAAAATACATCAACTCATATACAATTAGCCAATTTTCAACAAATAATCACTGATGATGTATGATTGACCTTAAGACACATAGCAAATTTAAATTGAATCAAATTTCTTCAAGACAGCGTCCAAACCCGTACGTCAAGAAGAATGAAAAAGTTTTGGGGATAAAAGACAGTTTTTATCATACTAACAATATACGCCAGGTCTTTCGTTTTTTGCTTTCGCAAGTGAGGTAAGGCTAAATATGGGTTTGTCTATGCAAAGGAGCTAATAAAAATGCATAAATTGTATATTTTGTATACAGAAAAAGTTCAAATTGATTTTCTTATACATTCTTAGTACCCACAGTATATTATAGCAAGTGCACATAATGATGTCATATTGTGACGTCATAGTTCTCTCCCATTCAAGGTAATGAATCACATCAACAAAATCACGTCGGCGCAAATGCATATCCTATTTAATTTAAAATGAATAACGTAAAATATTTAAGAGATTATTCTTAAAATTAATAAAATTGCTGCACAAATCCTATCCTCTTTTTCAATCGATAAAAAATTTACTAAACATACAGTGGACTGTACATTTTTACCCTGTTTCAACTAAAAACTGTACGAATAGTAACTAAACAATTGCAGTGTCGACATTTGTGCAGTAATATCTTAAATCTTTGGAATTTGCTTTCCTTTATACCTTGCTTCTGTAAAACAAAGTAAGGTATGCCCTTGCGCCGAAGCGATTTTGTTGATGTTTCTTATAAACTTGTGTAGTAAAGGTCGATGACGTCATAATGTGACGTCATAATGTGTACTGGTAATCGCTTATCGTGGGTACTAAGAATGTATTACAAAACAAGTCTTAACATTTTCTTTGCGGTATGTAGAGCAATTATAGGTCTTAATTAATTATTTTGCATAGAAACCTCTCTACATGTACGTAGCCTTAACTCACTTGCGTTGTTTAATTTATCAAATTTATAAATGTTTAATTTATAAATCATTGAAAAACGTATTTTACTTCTTTCCAAGCACCGAAGTTATTGTTAATTGAACAACCCTAGTACAGCATATATTTTGCTGTTCTTGATAGAAGGATCTCGTTTTAAACATATAATTATTTATTTTACTTTGTTATTAACATTTGAATCACCATTGCTTCCCTCCCTCTCCCAAAGGGCCAGGATTTAAACAAATTTAAAACATGACTAAACATAGCTTTTTTGTTCGAAGGATTTGTCCCTTTATTTTTCCATATGGGACATTTATCCACCAATGTGCTTACA